GGCTTTTGGGCGGTCTGTACCGGCGGGCGCAGGTTACTGGCCTGGTGGCCTGGCTGCTCCTGGATGGGTTTGGGGTGGGCACGGGTTCGGGGTTCTGGGGGAGTGTCACTCCCGGGCTGGGGTCCCGGCTTGACTTGGGGGTCTCGGGTCTTGGCGGGTATGTTGTCAGGGTCTTGGGCTGGTGCATGCACCGGTGCCTGGCCCTGGGGGCCCTTGGTGCACTGGTGGGCTTTGGGGCCTCTGCTATGGGGGGGTGGGGGGTGGGGGGGTGTCTGTGTGTGAGATATTGTTGTGGGGGGAGGATGGGCCATGGGAGGGGATGGGTGGATTCAGCCTGGGTGTCTTCTTGCCTGGCTGTGACCACGGTCTAGTGCTTGGCTGGGGGGCTGGGCTGTGGGGGGCTGTGGATAGGGGGTGTATTGGGCGCTCTCGCTAGGGTGTCTCTGCACTGCTGGCCTGGGGGTGTCTGGGCATGTTAGGTGTGTGCCCTCCCTTGCGTGGGGTACTCTCATTGTGGGTGTTGCTGTGGTGGACTGGTTGGTCCTTTTGTGGGGGTGCGCTCTCGGTCGTCGTGGTGCGCTATCTGTGGCTGTTCGGGTACTCCTGGCTAATTGTTGCTGCTGGAATTTGGTGGCTTCTTTGGTTGGGGGGCTGGGTGTTGAGCTGGGGATTGGGTTGGGGGGGCTGGAGGATCTCGGGGGGGGGGGGGGGGGTTGTGGCCCCGGTTTTGGTTGGTCCTCGGGGCTTTGTGCCGGTCCGTGGCCTGGGACACTGGTGGTGTGGCTGCCTCCTGCTCTTGGATGGATGGACTGGAGCCTCCTTCCCCTGGTGGAGCTCAGAGAATGGGTGTGCCTATTGGGGTTAGTGGGGGAGCTGACCCCCTGGGAGGGCATTGCCACCTCAGTTGTTCCTCCCCATCCCGACATCTTCCTCCGCCCACTTCATCACACCACCACTCAAGCAGGGCCTTGGGGTTCAGGTGCACTACTGAGCTATGGGAAGGATCCTCCATCTCCGTGGTTCGTGGAGACCTGGGCCCCAATTTTATTATACAACCTAGACACTCACATATAACATTCTCACAACACGTGCATATATAGGGGTCTGGAGTGGGCACACAGTGGCATATAGGGGGTGGGATGTGTAATCATTTTCACCTCTGGGACCTGTGCCCACTCTCATATGTAGCATGTAGACATTTAGGGTTCTGGGCAAGGGTTGGGGAAGTGAACGGGCACTGCCTGCTCTCTGGGGAGCAGGTGGGTCTGTGCCGGTAGTCGCCTCATCCCCCCCATTTTAACTGCACTATATAACAACATGTATTAACACCTTATTTGAGTGGGAGGAGGGAGGAGTTGGGTCTTACTGTTAATTATTTATATATATACAGGTCCTTCTAAAAAAATTAGCATATTGTGATAAAGGTCATTATTTTCCATAATGTAATGATAAAAATGAAACTTTCATATATTTCAGATTCATTGCACACCAACTGAAATATTTCAGGTCTTTAATTGTTTTAATACTGATGATTATGGCATACAGCTCATGAAGACCCAAAATGCCTGTCCCAAAAAATTAGCATATTTCATCCCACCAATGAAAGACAAGTGTTTTTAATACAAAAAACGCCAACCTTCAAATAATCGTGTTCAGTTATACACTCAATACTTGGTTGGGAATCCTTTTGCATGAATGACTGCTTCAATGTGGCGTGGCATGGAGGCAATCAGCCTGTGGCACTGCTGAGGTGTTATGGAGGCCCAGGATGCTTCGATAGCGGCCTTAAGCTCATCCAGAGTGTTGGGTCTTGTGTCTCTCAACTTTCTCTTCACAATATCCCACTGGTTCTCTATGGGGTTCAGGTCAGGAGACTTGGCAGGCCAACTGAGCACAGTAATACCATGGTCAGTAAACCATTTACCAGTGGTTTTGGCACTGTGAGCAGGTGCCAGGTCGTGCTGAAAAATGAAATCTTCATCTCCATAAAGCTTTTCAGCAGATGGAAGCATGAAGTGCTCCAAAATCTCCTGATAGCTAGCTGCATTGACCCTGCCCTTGATAAAACACAGTGGACAAACACCAGCAGCTGACATGGCACCCCAGACCATCAGTGACTGTGGGTGTTTCAAACTGGACTTCTGGCATTTTGGCATTTCCTTCTCCCCAGTCTTCCTCCAGACTCTGGCACCTTGATTTCCGAATGACATGCAAAATTTGCTTTCTTCCATAAAAAGTACTTTGGATCACCGAGCAACAGTCCAGTGCTGCTTCTCTGTAGCCCAGGTCAGGCGCTTCTGCCGCTGTTTCTGGTTCAAAAGTGGCTTGACCTGGGGAATGCGGCACCTGTAGCCCATTTCCTGCACACGCCTGTGCACGGTGGCTCTGGATGTTTCTACGCCAGACTCAGTCCACTGCTTCCGCAGGTCCCCCAAGGTCTGGAATCGGCCCTTCTCCACAATCCTCCTCAGGGTCCGGTCACCTCTTCTCGTTGTGCAGCGTTTTCTGCCACACTTTTCCCTTCCCACAGACTTCCCACTGAGGTGCCTTGATACAGCACTCTGGGAACAGCCTATTTGTTCAGCAGTTTCTTTCTGTCTTACCCTCTTGCTTGAGGGTGTCAATGATGGCCTTCTGGACAGCAGTCAGGTCGGCAGTCTTACCCATGATTGCGGTTTTGAGTAATGAACAATGCTGGGAGTTTTTAAAAGCCTCAGGAATCTTTTGCAGGTGTTTAGAGTTATGTCGTTGATTCAGATGGTTAGGTTAATAGCTTGTTTAGAGAACCTTTTCATGAAATGCTAATTTTTTGGGACAGGCATTTTGGGTTTTCATGAGCTGTATGCCATAATCATCAGTATTAAAACAATTAAAGACCTGAAATATTTCAGTTGGTGTGCAATGAATCTGAAATATATGAAAGTTTAATTTGTATCATTACATTATGGAAAATAATGACCTTTATCACAATATGCTAATTTTTTTAGAAGGACCTGTATATATATGTATGTATAGGGTCCACAATTACAGTGATTCAGGAACTCCAATAATCCCAATATTGTTCCATTTCATATTCCCTTTGACTAATTCAAGCCTTTTTCTCAGCCGAGCCACCTCATTTTTCAATTCCACCATAGTCCCATGCAGAGCCTCCACCTCATATGAGCATACAAACCATCTGTTTTTGGCCTCGGTAACACTTAGCTTGACTTGGTCAAACTTTGCTCTGAGGTCCGCAGTGTTTCCAGCAAGCTCTGCTCTTACTGCCTGCAGTTTGCTCCTAATAAAATCAAAATCATCCATCAGAGCCGCTTTCATGTCCATCCTAATTTTCACTGTGACTTCAGATTTAGTTGAATCCAGAATGTCTGACTTCAGAGCCGACTTGACCAGCTTTCCAGAGCCTGGTGAGGGCAGAGCTGACGCACCTGCTCCACCTGCCGCTACGACATTACTGCTGCCCGAGGCTGAAGCTGTACCAATGGGCCGTTCAGGCAATGACCCCACCATTTTAAATTTCTTTAACTTAGAGGCCATATTACAGCTCCCTCGAGTCAATCATGTGACAACACTGATCTCAAAGGCAGAATCCAGCGTGGAGGCAGCAAGGATATAATTATAAAAGGCAGTTTTTTTTTTGCAGGGCTTACGGGAGCCTGACAAAATGCTCTTTACCAATCAGCAGCCACCTTGAGCCTCCAAAATCTTACTTATAACCTAGAAAGCTCCATTCAACCGTAGTTTTTAACAGAGCACTTTGCTCCCAGACTGTAGGTTTACTTGTGGCTCCTAAAGTTTCCAAAAGCAGAATGGGAGGAAGATCTTTCAGTTATCAGGCTCCTTTGTGATAAATCCTATAGAGGGTTGGCTTGTTATGCTGCCTTAGGCTTAGAGTACTGGAGGACAAATATACCTCATTTATAAAAATGAATAGTTAATGCATACATATGGTAAATGGGCTGTACTTATACAGCGTCTTTCTATCTTGCCAAGATACTCAAAGTGCTTTAAACTCCAATCTGTGCTCTCATTTACACATTCATATAACACTCTGCTATGTCCGTACAAAGACTAATCTGTGCTTTAACACATTCATACACCAATGAGACACACATCAGAGGCAATGAGGGGTTCATTGTCTTGCCCAGGGACACTTCAGCATGTAACTGCTGGTGGAATCGAACCCCCAACTCTTGCACTGAAGGACGACTGCTCTAACCACTCAGCCATCCACATATGAATTGTTTACATTTGAAATTATTTCTATCTTAACAAGTGATGTCCCCCTGATTCTCAACCTGCCATTGTGTATCTGTTCCTCCTTCCTGTCCTCTCAAACCCAACTGGTCAAAGCAGATGGCCACTTGTCCTGAGCCTGGTTCTGCAGGATGTTTCTTTCTCACGAGGGAGGTTTTCCTTTCCACTGTCGCCTTCATGCTTGCTCAGGATGAGAGTTCTGCAACAACGTTAGACTCAAAGCATTCTGCTCCTCAGATAAATATTGCTATTAACTTACTTTTTATGTAGCCTATATGAATGTTTCTGTTCAGTGCCCTGAGATGACTTGGCGCTATATAAATAAACTGAATGGAACTGAATGAATTTCTAGACAGACAGACATACAGACAGACAGACAGACAGACAGACAGACAGACAGACAGACAGACAGATAGACAGACAGACAGACAGACAGACAGACAGACAGATAGACAGATAGATAGATAGATAGATAGATAGATAGATAGATAGATAGATAGA